GTGTGACGTTCTGTTCATCACTGTAGATACAGAAACATGATGAAGGAACATTAATAAATAAAACCAAATAAGACACCGAAAAGAAGATCAGGAAGACACAAGAGTATTAGTGAGGCCTTTTCGTTACGTTGCATCTTCAGGTCTTCGAAGAGGCAGTATAGCGAATAGACCATCGGCATATTCATATGTTTTCTCTTCTTCTTCTTCTCCTTCTTCCTTTTTTTCTTCTTCTTCTTTATCTTCTTTTTTTCATCTACTTCTTTTCTCTTCTTTTTCTTTTTTATCTTCTTTTTTTTTCTTCTCCTCTTTCCAATACGCTGTTTTTATATGCTATGGTATGCGATATATATTTTACACAAAGTACATCTATGTGTGTTAAATAACATATGGCAACTTCCCGATGGCGTTGAATTGGGTTTGCAAAATCATAAATGTAGAAGAATGAGAAATTGATCATTATTCCCGTAAGTATAATGGCTGATCGAGAGCAAAGAGTAGCCATGCTGGACGGTATTCGTATAGAAAGAGCTTTGCAAAATAGAATACAGAAATAATGAACGGCTTTGAGGACTGAAAGTGTGGAGAATGACTTTGCAAATTTGTAAGTATTGCATGTATAGAACAGTAAGCTTTGTTGGATGAAAATACCAATATATATCGCATCCGCTTTAAGAATTTGAATAAGTATATGGGTGAAAAAAATAAAATACAGATAAAAATAATATTTTTGAATTCTGAAGATTGTGAAGGAAACAAGGAACGATAGGATTAAAAAACAACAACACGTTTTAGGAATAAATGAAGATAAATGTAAGTGAAAAAAAAAATCTACAACTCCCATTTCAGTGACAGTTTACCATTTTTTTTAATAAATGCTACTGAATTGTTTCATATATATGGTATATCCAAGTAAAACCAAAGAACCAATTGTTTTATTTCACTGAGATTGAAGGTAAAATAGCTTCATTTTACTTACAGAAAAATACAATAGATATGAACAGAATAAGATTGGAAAAAATATTTTCGGAAGTATATATCCAGCTATAACCTTTCATTAGCAAATAGAAATATCCACAAAAAAAATCTGTTTATGATATCATACAATTTCCTTAATTATACTACAGCTATTTGCACACTTGATCTAACTTGCACTTCTGTATTAATTATGCAATGAATATCTGCTGTTTTTAATATGGACGGATTTCCGATATTTATGCCAGATGTCGGCGTCCTTTGTCCCTTATTTTGGAAGGTTGTAAATATCATCTGTTTTTGTTCCATTTTTTACCAGGTTGTTTTCTAAAATAGGCTTCAGTCGGGACTCCTGGAAGGCCGTAGATATCCTGTATTAAGAACTATTGTCTAAGTAAACTGGGTGTTAGTTTAGTTATGAAGCTTAGATCATGAGAAAATTGGGATAATGGAGCTATGGAAACAAGAGAAAAAAAGTATTGTGTTCATTGTATGTTAAGTTTTGCGTCATAGTTAAGTCCGTAGAGGTAGATAATAGGAAATCACCGCTTTGCTCTAACACTCATCGGCATCACAATACAGCTGTGACGCTGCGCTTTAGACGGTGTCCCCGGAAATGCATGTCACCTAAATCATCAACATACAAAAAATAAACACCATAGAAATGCAGATTAGAGTGGCAAGAGTACAGAGCAAAAAGTTTTCGAAAAAAAAGGAACATCATTCACTCTTTCCCCATACCCCAAAGAGAAAATAAACCACGCTGTAAAGAAAAAAAAAATAAAGCTCTAAGAGGAAAAATAAAACATGTTCTTGCTTGCCTCTCGTCCCAGGCCTTCGCGATATCCTGAAGTCGTGGCAGGAGATGTGCACGGAGATCTCGCGAAAACCCTACGACTACCTGGACTACCGAGACCATCGCTTCGACAACGACCTGGAGGTTTTTGCGGCCAGCGTGAGGGAACTCCTTCGCAGGATACACACGATGGTCGAGAAGGAACACGAGGAGATATGGGAGACGCCCATGGCTAATAAGATGCTCGCTAGGTAGGTGTGGTTTGGAGAATCTACGTGTTAAAGGGGGAGAGACACAGAGATCATATTTTTTTATATTTTTCTATTAAGTTAAAAAAAAATCAAGCAGATTATTATTACGTTTTCTTTTCTTTTCTTTTTTTGAGTGGATCCAAGATGTTCCTTAATTCATTATTCACTGCTAATAATTCTCCAAAACACATGATTGCAGGTTTGAAAGAATAGCAGAGGTGGTTCCTAACTTGGACGTGGAAGGAAAACTGAAACGAATTCTAGCGCGCTTCCACCAAGAGCTCGAGAAAGTGACGCGAATGTACAACAAACAGTGTGAAAATCCCCCGCAGCTCAGAGGCCTCCCACCTGTAGCAGGTAAATCGACAAATTACATTGTATACTATCCATTCTCTTTTTATTATCATCAATATCATTATCACATTCTTCTTTTTTCTTCTTATTCATAATGCCATTAGTATTCATTATTCAGTTACATTTATCACCTAATACACCGCCAATAATTCCTGCCATTATTCAGGAAAAATCCAGTGGGCCCGGAGTTTGTTCCTCCACCTCGAGGAGCCGATGATGTTCTTCAAGGACCACCCGGTGCTCCTGAAGCTCCCCGAAGGCAAAGAGGCCGTCAGGAAGTACAACCGCATCGGCAGGACCCTCGTTCAGTACGAGCTCGCTTACTACGATGCGTGGAGGAAGCAGAGTGTAGGTCTATGTTGTCTTTGTGTGCTGGAGAAAATTATTTCACTTTGGAATTGATGTAAAAGGAATGCATCTGAATGATCTTGATAGATTCGCGTATTCTATATTTTTCTTGGTGTATTTTTCATTAATACTTTGGAAAAAAATAGTGTAATATATAACAATACGGTACTCTATATACACGATATGATATATACAACATACTTCACAGTAGCACAGTATGCGTCACTGGTAATGGCAATGTAAATAACATACTGATATACATAGGAAACTTTTAAACACACAAGTAAACAAGAAGAGAGTGTCTCGTCCCACAGATCAGCGACATCCAAAAGTCCCTCCGATGCACTCTCGTCGTCCAGCGTCCAGACACCGAGGAACTCTACGTCAACTGGGACCCGAGAATCTCCACGCTGCTGCACGAGGCGACGAAGATCCAGCAGCTGGGATTCGAGGTTCCTTACATGACTCAGCTGCTCTTAAACAGGGCCCCTCTCCTCCTTAAGAAGCGAGATATGGTGAAGGTAGGAAGTGCCGTAAGATATTTAAATGGGATTGGATGGTGTTTATTTTTGGTGATACTTTTTGTTATTATTGGTATTATCGTTCTTTTATTTGTTGTGCTGAAGTTTGATTTGGAATGAAGGCTGACAGTTTGGTTGTGTGAATTCACGTTGGCTGTGTATCTTGCTTACAAAGAATCAAATCCTCTTACTCGAAAAAAATATTCTTAGCATTCGTATGAAACCCCTTTGAGCTTCCCTTACACAGATCTCTCCTATTTAGAATACTTCCATAATAAACATCAAATATCCCTTTACGATACAAATAAAACACAAAAAATACCAATTTTCTCATACAGCACCTTCTGGACGAACATGAACGCGTGCTGTCAAAAGTGAACCCGACCGTGGCTCCTCTGCTGGTACCTCACGTCACGAAGCTGAAAGAAGCACTCGATCCCCTTCTCACGACGCTCACTTGGTCGTCTATACAAGCTCATAGTTTCTTCGAACAGGGATTTGCGGCGATACAAACCTTTCAGATACTTATTGACAGGTGAAGGATTGGATTGGTTAGATGGTATTGAGTATTTTGTGATGCTCGTTAGTGTCTTATAGACAGGTAAGTAGTGATATAGTGATGGCAGGTAACTGATTAGGTAGTGTTAAGAGATAGATGAGATGGTAATAGGTGTTTTGGAAAGAAATCAAGTCAGTATGTTGTAATGAAAGGTAAATGATCAAATGGCATTATGTTCGATGACCATACTACTAACATTAGTAAACCTAATCTTCGTTGTGAAAATCATTTGAAGAATATCAGTATCAGTCATTACACTACCAATTAAGTGAAGATGATAATACTGATTGAAATTGTTTTGATAATTATTTCCATAATTTCATTTATGTTAGCAAATACTCACAATTGCAATTTTAACTATGTTAGATAAATCTGTATGTATCCGCTTCATATCCATTCTAGAATCCTAATGTAGTTATAAAGATAAAGGCCGTCACCTTTATACTCATGACCTTCTACCTGATCAGTGTCAGTTTATACCTTCACCATTGGATATTTTTATCTTAAGTAATAGCCAGACTTTCAGTTATTTCACTTTTACTAGTGAGGCCTTTTCTTCTTTATCTCCTTCTCCTTTCCTTTCCTTTTTCCTTCTTTTTTTTCTTTTTTTCTCTTTCTTTTCCTTTTTCTGTATTTGTTTTCTTTTCTTTTTGGCTTTCTTCTTCATACTTAACTACCTGTACGTTCCCATTACTCAGAATACCTTTCCTAAAACCACGCACTCGATCAGCTCACGTACCTGAAACCTACTGACATCCACCCGCTCTTTCCCCTCCTCCTTAAGGGTCAATGACATCCTCCAACACCGCATGGAGGGTGTGCTGGCTGCCATGACTGGAGTTCGTCTTTACATCCTCCCAGACACGAGTCCCTGGACCTTAGATCTGTTCGTTCATAATACTTGGCTCACCTGTTGTCAAGCCGCCCAGGTATGTGTGTGTGTTTGGTCTTCGGAGAATTGCTTTCTGTTTGATTTTGTTGACCTTTTTTACGTGTTTGTTGTGTCATGGTATGCTACATGTAAGATATTTCTGATCAATATGTCAGTGATGATGCAATGCCCGTTTATGTAGAAAGATTGTGTTTTTGCTAAAAGCCTGTTTTTGTTCTTTATTTTGATTTTTTGTGATATCGTATTTTATGGGGAATAGTAGAATCTGAGACCCATTTGATAGGTTTATGTAAATGTGGCGTAGCGG